CCCCCCCCCCCCGCCCCACCCCAGATCCAGAAATAGGTGGCCCACCTATTTCGAATCCCCCCCACCCCCCCCCCCTCTGCAAGCGGGTCATCATTATGGCCACCTTTTTGTTTTTGCTTGGGGCTGGTGCCTCCCAAAGCGCCCATGTCCTCGGCGGCCCTGCTCTTGTTGGTTCGCCCTGGAGCTCTGCTTGCAACCCGCCCGCGCGACGCCGACACGGCAGCGGCGGAGGTGCCGGCTGTAGCTGTGTGACCGTGAAACAATGTGAGACGACGCCCGCCGCGCGCGAATGCAGGCGTCTCCTCGCCCGGAATCCACGCGCGCATGCCTTTGCTTGCAAGTTGGACCTTTTTTGTTTGTTTTGGTTCCATCCGTGCATGTTTGTTGCAGAAGCAGCATTTTGGCCGCTGCAGTTCGCTTCCTGAATCATGGGCGACTCCATACAGAGCCGCTGATTTGAGTTCACATGTGGGACGTGCGTGCGGGAAAAAATAAATGCTGCTAGCGTGTTTGCATGCGCCGTTGCGGGGGGGGAGCTTGACCGTAGGGTGCGTCACAGCGAAACTACGTTCCCGCGACACAGCGCAACGTCGGGAGAGAGCGCTTCATGCCCTCACCCAGATGCAGCTGGCCCCGGCTCGCCTGACGGTCCGGGAGGAGCCACGCGGGAGGGCCATAGTTCCGACACTGACACCGCGGTGACGCTGTCGGACGCGCTAAGCGCCACCACGCCCTTCGCCTCACCCCGCGGAAAGGCCCCGCCGCATATCTTCGGAGCGCAGCCCCCGACAGCACCCGGCTTCACACCGCCGCTCTCACCCGCCGTGCCGCCGCGCCTACCGGACGACGCAGCCGTTGGCAGGACGCCCGCCCGCCGAGCACCATGCCCGGCGAGCGAAACTCCTGGCTGCACGTCCCCTTGCTATCCTTGCTGCACGCGGCCGCGGGCCATTTGACGGCACGTGCCCGCCAAGCTTGGCTATCGTGCCCGCGGATTGGCACTCGTTTCGACCAGCTCGTGTCCATACTGCGTGAGGCGCCACCTGTCTCGCCCGCGGCACTCGCCCGGACCCTGCTCGCGGTGGCGAGGTCCAGGACGAAGGCTGGCGCATCAAACAAAAGGACCGTGACGCCGCGACTGCCTTGACGGGCTGCCCGCGCTGCTAGACGCACCGTTTCCGCTCGCGGCCGCAGTGCTACTCTGCATGGCGCCCGATGGCTACCTCACGGCAGCAGTGCAGTCCGCACTTCTCGAGTCGTATGCTGGGGCCATGGCGGCAGCGGCCGCGCGAAGCTTGGCCGACGACGTTCGACACAACCCGCCGCCCGCCGCGACGAGAGTCAAAAGAGGTGTGAACGGTTAGACCAAGATATGAGAGTTAGGGTCTCAAGGTGTGGTAAGTTGTGTCAAAGTGAGGGTTGTGTCAGAGTGAGGGGAGTGAATCAACAAGATGAATAGGGTCTCAAGGTGTGGTAAGTTGTGAGGTCAGTTTGGCCTCGGAGCTGCAGCGCCCGGTGCCTACGCTGCAGGACGTCCCTCCCTCCATGCGAGCCGCGGTGCGCGGCTGGTGTGCTCTACGCCGGTGACGTTGCCGCCACATCGCGTGCGTGGAAGTTGTTCCTGCTGGCGCCGAGGATGCTGTTGGCCCGCACCGCAACAAGGTGCAGAAGGGCGAGCCGAGCTACTGGCCAGAGCAGCCGCGTTTGAGCGAGGCGACTGGACGCGACTGCTGCGCGAAGCCCGCGCCAACAGTGGTAAACCCAACCCCGCGCGCCCGGCCCAGGACGCGGAGACGCTCGAGCTAGGCAGACAGCGCCGAGCGTGCGTGAAGGTGAGAATGGGCGAGCTGACCCGACCGCGCCATGTCCTCACTGCGGCGGATTTGGTGCCCGGGGATGAGACGACCTACCGGGCCCTCACGGACCCCCGAGCGTCGCCCGCCGGAACACACCGCCATACCGGCCGCTACGAACCGGCGCAACCAGTCCGCCTGCCTGCGAAGGCTGTAGCCGCTCCGTGACGCTCGCAAACGCGGCGCGGCCAGCCTTTCCGGCATGCGTGCGGAGCACGACCTCCTCGCAGAAGCCGCGACCCACCTGGCGCGAGCACAGGTCCCCGCGGACGTCGCTGATGGTCTTGCGCGAACGCGGCTGACAGCTTTGCGGAAGGCGGATGGAGGGGTACGAGGCATCGCTACCGGGGACACGTTTCGCCGCCTGGTGTCACGCACCCTCGCAAAGGAGTGGCCCGGGACCTTTGACCGAGCCACTCGCCCGTATCAATTTGCGCAGCAGGCGCGGGCCGGCACGGATGCTCTCGCAGCCCGTGTCCGGGCCGCGCTAGCAGCCCATGTCCGGGCCGCACTAGCGCTGCGCCCGGACACGGTACTGGTGTCGCTTGATGGACGCCGTGCATACGACTGCATGTCCAGGGCAGCCTTCCTCACGAAGTCGCGCCTGAGCTGCTGCCCTTTGTGCGTCTGTTCTATGGCCGGCCCTCCACCTACCCCGCGCGCCGCCGCGTCTTCCGGCTGGACGCGTCGCTGGTGGGGCATGCTGTATGTCGCAATGCAGCAGGCAGTCGCAAGCACTGCCCTTGGGCACCCATGGCCTCAACCGCCGCAGGCCGCCAGCGTTGCGGGTCCGCCGCTCGACCGCGTTTTCGACCTCGCAAAGGCCAAGGGGCCGAGCCGCCTGCCGCTGCGACACCTGTCGTAGTCGTAGGGCCTCGTAGGCTCCGTAGGACCCCCTCTCTGACCGGACACAAGATGGGCAGGAGTATGCAGGAGTAAAAAAGCATCTTTAAAAAAAACATGGCTGGCGATTGCGCTGCTTGCAGAGTACGCCCGGCGGCCGCGAATAGAGCGGCATGCCCGGCAGGCAGCTCCGTCCACGCTCTACAACGTCGGGTGCATAGTGGGCAACTGCCGGCTTGGTCGGACCAGCTGGCGGAGCAGCTTCTTCGAACCACACAACTCATCTTGGAGCTGTTCGCCCGCGGTCCTCCTGCCGAAGGCCTCGACGCCATGGCGGAGGCCAGCCCGGTCACACCGCCGGGGGCTCCACACCGAGACAGGGCGCACTGCGTGCCAGCGGCGGCTCCGCCCCATCACACTCATCTGCCCTGTCCAGCGGCAGCTCCAGGAGTGATAGCGCGAGAGCCCGCTGCGCTGCGACGGCCAGCATGCTTGTCCAGCGGTGACCAGCCGCCTGCCGGGCCGCGGCCCGGAGCCAAGGCGGCGCGCGCTTTGGAGGCGGCCAGACGGCAGAGGAAATCCACCATTTCGGCGCCAAAGCGCCCGCCCGCCTCGACCGCGAGCATGACCAGGCCACACCTACGGGCGGCCAACAGCTCCGGATACGTGGTTTGGCGTTTCGGGCGTGCAGCGTCCGCCGCCGCGGCACGCGGTCTGCGCCCGCCCGCGCCGCGTCGTCCCGGCCAACGGGGCGCTGCCTGGGCTCCCTGCCATAACGAAATTGGCGTGCTAGTTTAGTCGTTTGCTTTTGGAGGATTGGTGTGGGGGAGGAGGATTGAAATTTAAGGTTGCTGTGACCTTGGGAGCTAAATTGTTTGCTTCTGGAGGGCTGGGGGGGGTGCAAATTTAAGGCTGCGGAGATCTTGGGGGCTTAGGGCCTAATTGGTTGCTTCTGGAGGGCTTGGGGATTTGATGGGGGCTTCGACCTTTGCAACGAAAGGAAGATAAGAACGAGGGTTGTGCGGGATTCGTCGTTTTTGATTTAATTGGCTATTCGTCCGAATGACTATCTTTTGGGAAAACCTTTTGCGCACCAGCCTTCGGGGACACTTTCGGGGACTGCTTGCTGCCTCTATTGCCTATGCGAGCGCTGGCAGCGCGTGAGAAGGCGGGGAAGGGGGGAAGTGTCGCCAGCCGCCTGGCGTGAGCGTGCGCTGCGCCTGGCAGCCTGCCCGTGGTCGGTGCCCCGTGTGCTTTCAGGCCTGCACGGGGACCTCGCCGCGCGTTGGACGACGGAAAAAAGGGCCGGGAAAAAAATGCATTCGGGAATGCGCGGTCGACAGCTGCTGGGAAGGCAAAGCCAGAAGAGACATGTGTGAATCCAGGCTTGCATCATCAAACCGCGTGCTGTTTGGCTTCCAGCTAAATTCCAATTCGTTCTCTCAGAGTGACCGTTTCTCTGTGCCTGGTTCGCAAGGATGATTGTTATGCTGCTACATGCTGCGGCTTGTTGGACAACAGTTTGCGTTTGTGCTCGTGGCATATGAGGCTGGCAAAAATGCCAGTCATGCAGAGCCTCTTTGCCACTTGCCAGAATTTAGCAGTGGGTCTGGTGTGCACAAGATCGTGCAGTCGGTTCCGTGGCATTTGCTTGGCGTGTGACATGCCGCCAAGGCGTACGTACTTGTTACCGTTGGGGCGTCATCGTCCCATGTACATCTTCCAGGCGATCATTGAACTGCTCCAGTGGAGATGTTCATGGATGGAGCTGTGTGTGTGTGTGTGTGACCGTGTGCAATCCTGTTGTGCCAGGTGTGCCACATGCGACTCCCAGTCCAGCGTTATTGCAGGTGTGGAGAACTCTGGGAGAACTGCTTCAATGAAAACGAACGTGCCCTGGAGTGTGTTCATAACAGTTTTTGTCACATTTGTTTGTGGAAGGTTCGGACCCACCACGTGATGGATCCGTTGGACGTGGAGGAGTTAAGCAGCGTCCTCAAATCTTGGATTGAGCTTTGATAAGGCAGTTGCAGAAGTGAAGCTCGAATTTCCAACTTTTCAAGTCACCAACAACGTTTGAGTTTCACCGTGGACTGGCAGGGGTATTCAGAACAGGCGGAACTCTAAATCGCATTTGTTTTTGCGACTGGGAGTCCGAACGCATCACCGCCATGATTGTTGACATTTTGCAAAAGGGTTTCCCACAACACAAGCTTTCCCGTTTTGCTCAGAAGTTTTCTGTTGGCATCCGCTCGTTTGATACGGTTGCGTTGGCAGATTTTGTGTTGTTAAGCACTTCCCGTCATGACACGGCCCCTGAAACGTTTCCTAGGTGGCCACCAGGATGAGGAGCAACATGAGGGCAACCTCAAGGCTTGGCAAGCTATGCCCGCCAATAACAGTAAAATTAACCTTGTTCCACATACATAAATACATTTTAAAAGTCCTGGCAGGTGAAAGACTTGCCACCTCCGGAGGGCCCCTTGTTTGAGCAGTGTCGAGCTCGCAAGAACAAGAGGCTGGCAGGCATGGCCGAGGACTGGACGGCGTGGTTTGACCTTTGGATCATGTGGCTCACTACAGCGTGTGTGTCAGAGTGCGTAAGAGCCTTGAGATGATAGGGGCGTTTTTCGCGCCGTTCGCGACGTGGCTTTCCAGCCATGAGAGGGGTATGGCACAATCCCGGACACTCCCGGGACAACGTCCAGTGATGCAATGCTTCTGTACTTGCTCGAGTTGCACTTGGATCCCGCTGTGATAACTAGTGAAGTACGGCGCCTTGCAACCACTTCGAATCATGTCCAGAATTGCGTGTGCTGAGTGAAGGACCAAAGCCACGGCAATGCGAGCGTCAGTCTTCTCTCGAATTCACTTGGAAAACAAGCTGCAGCGTGAACCTTTGGCAGCACTTCGCACTGTTTCGATGGAACAGCTTGAGAGCACAGTTTGGCAGACTGCGTTTGTGTCTCTCGCTGCTCCGCCTCCTCTCCGTGGTAGTCTGAAACGATGATGAATTATGTTACTCTTGTTACATCTTCCTCGGCAGCAATGCAAGCAGCAGCCCGGCTCGTACAGTTCGGATTTATGCTGCCTTGAGGTTCTCTTCAGCAAACCACCTTGGTGAAATTCGAAAGCACTGGCGATGCCATTGTCAGTTGCTGTGAAGCAGCAAAGATCCTCGGATTGGGTCAGTGCTGTTCATGGTAGAGGGACAACGGGACGTGCTTCCACTTCGAGCCCACTACTGTACTTCCTCACTCCGTCACTCATTCCTCCAACCTAGTTGTTTGCCTGATAATGCCTGATGTATTGTGATTAGTATTATTCTTACCATAATTATTACGATTATGATTATTAGCACTAGTATTTCTGAGCCCGAGTCAGGACTACTTGCTCGGGCTGTGCACAAGCCGATGGATCTAAGTGTGCCCACTGTGCTGGTGGAGCCTCGTCACGATGCCTGTGCGCCCGTATTCCGCACCAATTACACTATTCGTAGTATTATTATTAGAAGTATCCTTATTGGTATTATTTTTATTAGTAGTATACTTATTGTTGTTATTATTACTAGTCTATCTTCAACTCGTGCCAGTTGTAACACGTGGCTCGTCGTTGCATCTCAGCTGAGGATTTCGAAAAGGTCCGAACGGATGTATTGCATGCCGCGACATTCCAGGTTTCGTGGATCCTTCTGGCAACTCTTGCGCAGACTACGTGGCCTGCTAGCTGGATTGGATGCACTTGTAGGAGTGTGGGTCAGGAGGCACTGCTTTTCCGAGGCTTTGCGGGTTCCTTTTTGGAGAACTGTGGCTCTCTGGCTAAGGCCCAGGGGATCTGCCAGGATGGCAGCAAAAGTCTATCTGATTTCAACGCAAACATTGTCGCCAATGTTGATATGGCAGACTACAAATACAACGGCCACTTGTCCGGAAGCATGTCGCCAGGCACAGGCTTTAACGCAGAATGCTGGTGTGTCATGTCGCTCGATTTCTTTGAATGCGATATGTGCAGCTTTCAGGACTCAGCGCCGTGGATGCTTGCTGTGCTTGCGGGGGCGGACTACAAACAAGCACCCCCTTCACATACTCGGCAAACGTCCGGTCCTTCGTCCTGGGTGCGCCGATGAAGGACGTCGCGCCATGCTGTGACTGTTGGTCGGCCATGTTGCTCATCATGCCCTGTTGCTGCGCAGGACCAGCCGCACCCACGCACGGCTTCCAGCTACCGCGTGGGTGGTGTGCTGGAAGGCTCCGGATGCGATTTGCACTCCATGGGTTTGCGCCTCAATGCTGAGACGGGCGAAATCTCGGGCACTCCCACGGCAGAGGAACCCGTGGAGGTGGAGTGTGTCATCCAAGCCGTGCAGGACGACTCAAAAGGCTTGATCGAAAACAGCACGGTGACTCGGTGCATTTTTGGGCCAGTTTTTGGGGTTGCTATTTTTCGACTCTTCCCTCTTTTCTTTGATCTTTGATCGTGCTGCGACATTGACACATTGTTTGTGGTGTTTGCACGCCAAAAAAGGTCAAGATTAATTTGCAGTACTTCGCTTATGCGGGGAAGATTCTTTCTTTTCCAGCAGAAAGTCCCTACTTGCCTAGTACATCCAGCGATACCTACAGCAAGTGGCGCGTGGCATGTACACCACACGCTCCGTGGTTGACGATCGATCAGCAAACAGGTGCGCTTACATCATCCAATGTTGACGCGTCCCGGCTCACAAGGGTTTAGGGGTTAGGGATGCTTTAGGGTTTAGGGTCTTTTTCTTCGTGCTTTCGAGTGACGACGCCTTTGATTCGCTAGGCACCGCCCGAAGCCGCGTTCTGCACTGTCACCGCGTACAACGGAACGGCAGATGTGACACTGCCCTTGCCTGTCGTGGTCCCCAAGCAGTGGACGGCCATGGACCTGAAACAAGTGATTATGGACAAAAGAGTCGCTCAAATTGCATTCAGCTCAGCTCGGCAAGCCCCCTCAAAGAAGTCAAAGGTCGCGAGCGTCACATTGCAGGCTCTCCAACTTTCACTAGGTCCGAAGTTGAGGTGTCTGTGGGATCTGTTCTGGACCTTGTGGCCGGGCGAGCAGTGCCGCCAGTGGCTTTGGCATCTGCCGACGGTGCCGCGGCTGAGAACCTAATTGTAGGGCTTCGCGTGCCACAGCCTCGATGGTGGCAGCCGGCAACTGTAGCGAGATCTGAGGCTCCGACCACCTCACTAAGCCCGTGGTTTTCTATGCGGCATGTGATGCGGTTGGCGAGAGTGACGAGCACGTTTCCTTCGACATGACGACAGGTACATGTCGCTGAGTGGAAGCACGATGCCGATGGCACCCGTGCCTGGTTCAGTCTCCAGTTGAATGATGTGAAGCTGGCAGGCGATGTCCTAGTTCGCGGCCACGTGGCTTTCCGCCTGGAGATGCTGAGTGGTGAGTTCACAGGCGACTGATCGTAATCCTTGAGCTTGCATTTGTCACGGCTTGCTTTTGCCAGGGTGTTTCTCAAAGAGGAGTTTCACACAGTATGGTGATGTTGATGGTGATGATGATTCTATATTCGTTTCCGAACACATTTGAAGCTTCAATTTGACTGTTTGCTTTTCGCTCGTATGGCAGACATTTTTCATGGGTTGGCAGCCTGCGTGTCTGAGCGGCGTCTCTGCTTTCTTCCCCCTCCCCTACCCCCCCTGCCCACTGAACAATATGCCAAAACGCACGAGCGAGGTGGTTTGGGCCCAAAACCTTAAACCCCATTAAACCCGATTAAGCCCTATCATGCCCTATGAACCCCCAAAGCCGCTAAACCCTAACTACGAAACCCTCGGCTGGGGGTGGTCCCGATGATGTGCTGGTTCACAGTGCAGTCGCGCTCAGATGCTCAGACTCAGAGACAGCGCCGAGTAAACCCAAAACCCTAAGCCCTAAGCATGTTATATCAAGCGCTGGTCCGGGCTTTTGGGGCTGAGGGCCCTGAAGCCCTCAAGTGTCAGCCTGGGTCTCCAGGCCTTACACCGTTTTTTTAGGGCCCCCGGCCCCGGACCTTCCGGGCCGAAACAACAGGGCTCGAAGCAAACGTCGCCCAGCGGCTGCGGGAATGTCGTGATTCATCAGCAGTATTACAGCGAATACGCATTTCAGTCGTAATTTCATATGCGAATTCATATTGAGATGAACATTGATGCAAATTCTTCGTCACTGCGTTTGTTTCTCGCTGGCTGCTTCGTGCCCACTCGTTTGACTGGCTTTCAGGTCATCAGTGTTCTTGTGCTCATTATGGTGTGGTTCTGACTTGAGTCAATGTCCTATTTCGTTTCTGATATTGATATTAGTAACGGTGCGACTATCGTCCGAGCGATTCGCGTGTTGTTGTCTAAATCTGCGGTCCCTCTCCAGACATGTTGTCGTCCACATGCTGCAATGTTTAGTTGGAGTATGCCAGCCTGCACTTCGCAGATTTCCAACATGCATGGCAAAACACCAATAGGAATACAAACAACATCGGACGTACCGTGTCAGAACCAAGCATTGCGATCAGTTTGCAACGACTGCTCTGAAAGCCCACAACATCAGATGTTGCTGAGTTGTTGCTCTTGATTTCCGACGTGACAGCACTTGACACGCCCATTCGTTACGCAGTTGCGCTGCGCGGGCTTCACGAACAGCAAGAGGTCATCCGCAATTCTGAGGTCCAAGAAAGCCGGCGACCACCAGGTTCCAAACCTACAAACAGATAGCGCAGCTTGACGAACGGGGCAAGGCAATCGAGGAACACAACCTTTGCGAACTCTTTCAAGTGATGGTAATGACGAACGATGAATGACCATAATTGATTATATCGTCGCTGAGCGACTTGACTTGCAGTTTTCTGTGCAGGGTGGCCAGGTTTCCGGTTGTGTACCATGTATGTGCGCAATACTGGTCACAATGTGCCCCACCCGTCTTGTCATCATGTGGGTGGGTGGGGTCGCAGTGGAGAGCGGCCCATCTTGTTAGACCTTTGCATCTGCTTCCAGGCATCCCTGACATGGGAGTCCTGGGCAGTTGCAGTGCTTCCTCTCGCTGCAAAGTTGAACTCAAGCAGCTTGCCCTGACTGTTTTTTGCATTCCATGGGCCAGTGGGAGTTGGTGACGGTTCGCCGAGGTGCACGATTTTTGGGGAGCTTGCCTATCAACCACCAGGATCACTGCCCAAGTTTCTCAAGCACAGCGTCACAGCCTCTCAGAGCAAAGCAAGCTGTATTTCCAGTTTGACTTCAATTCTGTGGCCACCTTGAGGCGGCCCCCGCGAAAGGGATGCATGTAACCCTTAATCTTATTCCCCTTTCTAACCCCTATGTAAACTAAGTAGCCCCCAATCCCCGAAGTAACCGGATGTAACGAACCCTGGGCTACCACCTCAGGTTGTCATCCGCGATGACACTTGCTGGCAACATGTGTCAAGTTCCGAGAAGACCTGGGCACGCCTCGGGCAGCTGGAAGGCCCCCCAATGATGAAGAAGCACCCAGCAGAGAATGCAGAATTGAACTTTTGTTCGCTTATCTGCCAGGTAGTGGAACTTGTCGCAGTCGTTGCCCGGCACTGAGGTCTGCAATCTGCTAGATTCCTCTGAGGAGCCTGTTGCATCAACTTTGAAAAAGTGAGAGAAACTTCCTGGCCACGGCCCCCTCTCAATTGCACCACTCGTGACAAGACATGTATCTTGAGGGTCTATATACATATATATATATATGTTTATTTATTTATTTATTTATTTATTTATTTATTTATATTTATGTATATATATATATAATATACATATATACGTACATGTACGGATATGTATATGGATATATATATATATGTATATGTATATGTATATGTATATGTATATGTGTATGTGTATGTATATGTGTATGTATGTGTATATGTATTTGGTTTTGGATCTGGATTTGGATTTGCATGTGCATCTGGATTTGCATTTGTCTTTGTCTTTGCTGTTCTCTTCGTCTTTGTCTTTGTCTTCGTCTTTGTCTTTGTGTTTGTGTTTGAAAGTAATCTCTGAAATGCCTTGTGAAGTTGTGTAAATCCGGAGAATCAGGCCGCGCTTCGGCCGGATGCTCTGCATACCAACAGGAGGCCTCAGGGGTTTCAACCTTTTCTACGCTAAAAGAAGCCCCCGCAAATAATAAAAGATATTCTTCCTTATCTCGGCAAAATAGGGATTACTATCTTTTTGTTTTGGGAGTTCTTAGGCAAAGAGTAGTTTTCTTGGCCACTAGCCTGTGCGTGAGCATGGCACTGCGCCGGTACTGCGAATGTGCAGGAGGGTGCATGCGTATGCTATCCCCCTTGTGCATCGTGCATATCCGGCGTGCGGTGTGTAGCGAAAGTTGCTCACCTCCTATGTGTGCAGACGACGAGGAGCGATGTCTCACCTTCTGCTGGAGCATTAACACCTTGGCAGCCTCACAGAACGGGACATGCCTTTCACACCTTAAAAGGGCTCCTTGCCATGCTTTTCTTTCCATTTACCCCCTCCGTGACAGTTGGGAGAATTTGAAAGAGGGCCCTTGCAGCCCAAAAACCTTTGAGTCATTGGGCTGACTGGATTGAGCTGGTGCCTAGAGAATATTGCGCGTGCAGGAAGATGGGGAGCCGTTGTCCACGTTTGCTGAAAATAACTTCAACGATGCCTGGCAGCATATAGGCTGGCCGTAACCTTTGACTCAGATTTTTGTTTGTTACAGTTGAGCTTGTCCGTAGTTCAGGCATGCTTTCCCTCCCTTTAGACTGTAAGAGATCGAAGCCAGCATCACTTGTCACAGATAGCTCTGAATCCCGTGTCTTCGGTGAGTGTTGGGTTTCGCATGGAGTCGCCGAAATCCTATTCCCCAAGTACAAAGTGACATGTCGTCTGACACATATGTCCTCATGGGAATTGAAATGATTTGCTGTAGTGCAAAATTTGTTCTACCTGTTTGGAGGAGTCCATAGAACACTAGTCGCATCCTTACCGGCAACGTGCTACGTGGTGCCAGGCGGTGCCTGTTTGCTTGACTCCTTGTCAAAGTACTTGCTAGTGTGAATCGCTTTAGCTGCTTAGTATCAGCATGTGGTGTGGACCTGGTGCTGCAAGGACCGTGGCAACACTGATGACAAAGACACCAGCAAAACTTACGAATACACTCTCAGCAACGGCTACAAATGCACCTTGTCGGGCTGGTCGCATACCCGAGAATACCAGAGCGGTTACCTCCGCACCGGATCCGGCAGCGGCATGGCCGTAGTTTCTGGGCTGGAGCCGGGGGTCCTCTACGCCTGGAAAATCTACCAGTTTACGACCAATGCCCAGCAACTTGGACAGTTCTGCGTCCTAGTAGCGCGATCGGATGTTTTATATGTGCTTCTTTTTCACAGCGGTTTGTGGCCGTTCGCCCAGTTATGCTGGCACAAATCCGCTGCTCGTCAACGGCGAGAGCTATGGTTCCACAACCTCCGGGGCGAGTGCAGATGCAACGAAGACAGGTTGCGGGCTTTCCAGCTCTTCTCTTTGCTGAGATCTTCGGTCGCACTCTTGTGCAGGCTTCACGAGAGCAACTGCTGCAGGTCCATGCCTCAGGTTACAGCTTCAGCCACTTTCCCACTGCTGCAACAGCCTTAAGCAGATCAAAATTCTGTGGGCGATAAGCCAGAGACAGATGCCGGGTGCTTCTAGTAGCAATGCGCAGAGGAGTTTAACCCGAAATCTTGTTTGCATTTGAGCGGGAGGTGCCCAACTGAAGCCTAAGCCCGAGAGCCTCCTCAAACAGGCAAGATTTCATTCGAGTTCGTGAAGAAGACGCCCCAGGTCTCCGTATCTGGAATAGCCATGGGCAAGGTGGCTGAGCGACGTTTGCACACCCTGCGCATGTGTGTACCCCAACCCTCTACTGAAGTGTGATGCTGAATAGAACGAAATAAGAAGCAATCCCCAAGCCGAGGCACCTTCGTGCTTCTCTGTGCGCTCTGTGGCTTCGGAATCCTGCCCGGCAGCTTGTGACCGGGCTAGCACCAGCCCACAGTGACAGGTGCTGATGGTTACATCTTCTCATACCTTATGTTCGTACGTACACATGCACACATGCGTACATCTGTACATATCTATGTATATTACTATACATGGTCATGCGCGCAGCGGCCTCCAGGTCTTCCCCCCCGGTTGGTTGTGGGTTCGATTCGGTTAGATTTCTGTGGTGGGGCTTGGGATTGTCTCCCTCTTCTGGTCAGATCCCGTATCCTGGTCATGGAGGCTTTGAATCAACGGGACAGTATCCATGGGCATGAGGAAAGTCTAGTGAGACAGGGCACGGACGCAGCATGAAGTCGGCTGAGCGGCCTTTGCGACCCCTGCAATGCTGAGGCTTCTGTGATGGGGGGAAAATGTGCAAGGGCTGGTGCGACAAGGAAGCTTGGATTAGTTAGGGGACGCTTCTGTCAATGACTTGCAAATCTACCCACGTGCTTTCGCTCAGCCACCGGCAAGAGCTTCTGCTTCGCCAGGATGGCAGCACGTGCAAGACCACTGCGCCCAATTGGGGACTTGATTGCCGCGGTTGTGGCGCCGCAAAGTTTTCCAGCGCGTGGGTTCGGATCAGAGACTGTGGCTTGGCTGACTTGGTTTCGATGCACGCCTTTTGGGCTACGCCGGCAAGGAAAAGCTTCTGCATGTTTCTTGGAAAGGCGCCCCCAGCTTGCCCACGGCCGTAGCCAAACTACCATCAGTTACGTTACATCAGGGCTCCCTGAAAAATGATTCTGGGGGGGGGGGGGGGGGGGGGGGAAGGGGCTAAATGATTTCATTTTGCCGCAATCGTTTCGACCCTCCCAGGAAATGATTGCAGAAGGGGTTGGGGGGTCCATATCCGTCAACGTGGAGCCATGTGGAAATGATTCCAGACCCCTTCCCATTGGGGGGGGGCTACCCCCCTAAATGATTGCGGGGGGGGGGGGGGCTTAAATTTCAGAGTGAGGGGTGATTACGTTACCATCATGGGAAAGGAGTTGCAGAAATTTGCACAAAGGTGACGCCCAGAGCAACTGCCTCTCTGTGTCGAAGAAGGGTGGAGGGGCTGCCTTCTTGGATGGCGTCTACTGCCCTGCCAGTGATGGTGAGCCGCCTGGAAGCGCTCAGGCCCTTGCGAATCATGAAGGAGCTTTGCTCTAGTAGAGTATGGCTGAAGTACCCTGTAGTGTAGCACCCTATTGCATAGTCCTTTGGAAGACGTAACCCTTCAGTCTATAGTATGTCGGGCCTGTTTCCATTTCGGCCTGACTTGAGCTCTGGCCCAGGAAAGATGGGCTGCTCCCCTACTACGCAAAACCAGGCATCAGATGCGCGGGCAGAATGGGTCTCGGACACACGCAGCAGTTACGGCTTGTGCCAGTTTGCGGCTCGTGGGCACCTTTACATTCGTATGTGGAACATGGCTGCGGTGCAATCCTTGCATCTTCTGGCCCGAAGACTAAGATCTTTGAGCCGATTTCCCGCAGCATTTGTTTCTTTACGTCTGACCAGTCTTGGTGGCCCCAAAAGCGAACGATGTGTACCGTCTTCTTTTCTCCTCCTTAGTGCTTTGCTTTGCTTGTGTCAAAGCCTTTTGATTCCATTGTATGTGCTTTCACTTGAGCATTCTCGCTGCACGGAACAGGTGAGGTGCAAGAGGCCACCTTGTACCTGTCTCCCTGGCAACCTTCGAGAGAGACGCAGCAGGGCTGCCCAACAGGCGCACGACAACTTAGGGGAGCACTGAATATGGGCCAATGGTGCACAGCATGCTGCAATATGCTGCATGTTGTTGCATGTTGAGCGAATGGGAGTGTGTCGGGGTTAGCAGCTAATACTTCGCATCAGCGGCACTCGCATGGTACTCAGCTTTCACAACTCAGCCTTCGGGTTTAAGCCTGAGCCTGTTTGATCGACGGAGTTATGGATAAGCTGTGATTCGCCACCATGTCGGACTTCAGCTGTGAGATTCTGGATTTTCGGGGTCTGTCATTCCGGCGTGTTCTCTTGCGCGGCTTGAAAAGGGCGGTGCCCTGGGGGCGTAGTAGATGTGTGGGGATTCAGCTGCATTCGGCCTTCTCCGGCATGGGTCATCCTGAGGGCACAAAGTTTTTCATTTGGGAGCAACGTCAGCCAGGTTTAAATGTTGCCGCTTCTTCAATGAGTTTCAATCGTTTTTTAAACATCTGCAACGTGCCTCTCAAGATGTGGCAGGCACGGGGTGGGTGATCCGCCGAGCCAGTCCTTTGGATTTCTTCCAGGGCGAGTACGTGGAGCTGCGCGGAGATGTGCTGGCCTGCTTCCATTCTTTGGGCCGCTTGGGCTTCAGTTGGGCATGCGTTTTTGTGAAGATTGCATCTGCTACCCTTGCAGCCCTTGACTGAAGATAGGACCCGATAGCATGTGGTGGAAGTAGAAGAGCTTGCCGTGGTGGCTGGGGATGTGCAAAATGCCGGAGTGATTGTGCGTGTGCGCAGTGTGTACGTGACTCTCGCACACACACACACACACACACACACACACCCACACACGCGCACACACGCACACACGCACACACGCACAGACGCACTCACACACTCACGCACTTACGCACTCACGCACTTACGCACTCACGCGCTTAAGCACTCACGCGCTCACGCACAGGGAGAATTGGCAGATGATCGTAGCTGTTCTTTAACCAGGCCATTTTCCTGCGACAATGTGCAGCTTTTGACTTTTCAGATGCCACTCACGAGGTCATTCTGGAAGCAAGGCCTGGAGCATCGGAGATGCTGTGCTTGACGAAGTGAAGTCTAACTTCCACCTTACAATCCTTGATGCGAGCTATGTGGAGAAGCGCGCCAAGGCTGGCGGACTCTGTTGTTCGCTCATGCTTGAGGGCAGTTGGGGGCCGTGACAGCTTGCCTCTGCTCCGTGAGACAGCGCCAACTGACGAAGTGAACATGGTGCCTGTTGCACGGACGTGCCTCCGCGGCAATACATGCAGCCAGTGGCCAAGCATGCATAGATAGTTCGTTAGTGCACACCACGTTGTGACCTCCAGAGCAATGTTCGAAGATGCTGGAAGATTCGGGGGGGCCATGTCGGGATCAAGAATGACTGTGATGAAGCCACCTTGTCGCTCATTGTTGGGCTCATGGTCAAGGTGCCCGAATCCGCTGGAAGAACGGCGTGCAAAGAAGAAGAAGGGGGAAGAGCAGGATGAACTGACCAGCGAGGAGCCAGTCTGCTTCATGGCGCTCATGTTCAGAACTTTAAGCTCCTTATCTGTGTGCACACTGTTGGTTAGGAATGTTTTTTTCATTAGATATGGTTATTGGTATTGATATTGCTGGTATTCATGTGACTGAGTAATGAAAAAACATCTATCTGTTGAGAATGTTTTCGGACAATTTTGGGACACAGTTTTCTTTATCGACACCCTAGTTTTCAACCCGAACCATGCCAAAGATCATGGTAAGGGACCCGAACGCGGACACCCAAACATAGTGGAAGTCGTTCATCAAACAGAACTTTGGGTGAGATTCCCGACCTGAAAGGTTTGTTATTCGCACCCACTTCTACGGATATCAAACGCAACGTTAGAACTGATGCACGAAGCAAAGCCGCCTGACGAGACTGACATGCCCGTCCTCGCGACGCTTTCCCGACTCCGAGTGGTTAATGTTCCAGCAACCCTAAACCCCAAACCCTAAGCCCTAAACCCCAAACCCCAAACCCTAAACCCTAAACCTAAACCCTAAACCCTAAAAAGTGCTTTGGGGAAAAAAGTGCTTTGGAGAGTACGCGATCGAGACCACGGAATGCGCAAGTCACGCAGGCGAGAGTGCGACTTTTCTTTCCAATAACGCTTGACCCATCTCCCGCGACCCCGAAAACCCCCTTCACGCTTCTGACCCTGCATGTTGGGTTTTGACAAGCAGTCTCGGCGAAATTTGCTGCATTCTTTGCCGCTCACCTCCCTGGTCAGCCTTGGGCCGTTGGTGACACCAATGGGACAGAATTCCTGGTGGAACACGCTTGCGTGCATACCGCCCTCCAGCCCGAAGTCATGCTCAGCAATCTAAGCATGAAGCTGGACAGGAGGCTTTCATCTTCGATGTGCCGCACTCAGAACCGTCATGAGCTGTTTCATGGCTTGTGAATCTGTCTACACCTCAAGTACCAGCAATGCCCCCATTCTGATGAAAGGATCCTGATGCCCCAAGCGGCCTTGGAGACTTCTACTCGCTCAACCCATGCCACAGTCCTGCAGTAGCTTTTCGGCGTGCTCTCTTGTTACAGAACCTGTGCGTCCATCGGAGAAGTTTAAAAATCAGGGCGGGGGAGGCGCAGGCATGTTATTGTCGAAGACTCCATCCCTTTGCAGGCGAATGCTTCAGTGGGAAGTTTGGAGCCAATCCGCCAGTCGCGGAAACAACCTTTTCCATGAGCCTTGGAGTCAGTATTGCAGTCATGACACGTCATTGGGCATCAAAGGCGTAAAAAGAGAGAAAAGAGAGAGAAGAAGAAGAAGAAGAAGAAGAAGAAGAAGAAGAAGAAGAAGAAGAAGAAGAAGAAGAAGAAGAAGAAGAAGAAGAAGAAGAAGAAGAAGAAGAAGAAGAAGAAGAAGAAGAAGAAGAAGAAGAAGAAGAAGAAGAAGAAGAAGAAGAAGAAGAAGAAGAAGAAGAAGAAGAAGAAGAAGAAGAAGAAGAAGAAGAAGAAGAAGAAGAAGAAGAAGAAGAAAGAAGAAGAAGAAGAAGAAGAAGAAGAAGAAGAAGAAGAAGAAGAAGAAGAAGAAGAAGAAGAAGAAGAAGAAGAAGAAGAAGAAGAAGAAGAAGAAGAAGAAGAAGAAGAAGAAGAAGAAGAAGAAGAAGAAGAAGAAGAAGAAGAAGAAGAAGAAGAAGAAGAAGAAGAAGAAGAAGAAGAAGAAGAAGAAGAAGAAGAAGAAGAAGAAGAAGAAGAAGAAGAAGAAGAAGAAGAAGAAGAAGAAGAAGAAGAAGAAGAAGAAGAAGAAGAAGAAGAAGAAGAAGAAGAAGAAGAAGAAGAAGCTTTGTTTACATGCGCATCATGAGAGTTCTGAGGATGCCGCCGGGAAGTGACAACGACTTTGTGCCCCCGAGCACATTGTTGGTTGCTTGGCTGACAGGGAGGCATTTTGGCAAGAGCAATGATGATGAAGCAGGGCACGGAGACTGCAGCTGAGTAGGTGCGGCAGTGTCTTTGTTTCCCGTTACGCCCCATGGTCCCGAGAAAGTCGGCCTTGGAAACTTGCAAGAAGGTGCATGTAGTCAGTACTGCTCGCAGTGGCCAGCCACTGCACTGAAGCCGTTCAGTCAGTTCAGGGTAAAAGAGCGCCTGATGCTCTGCCGCATAGGTCTCTGGAAGCTTGTCGTGCGAACCGAAATACTTGATGCTGACATTGGCATCCTGGCAGCACAAAGCCTTCAACAATCTCGCTGTCCTGTCCATGGTGTTCTCGTGTCAGCCCTGACTGAATGCTGCAAGAGCTGTCAAGTTGTTGCATGGCCTTGGCTTCAATCCGTCTAACTTGGGCCTGCTTGTAGTCGTAGAAGTGAAGCTGCCCATCGCCAGGTTGGGGTTGATGCAACAGGACCGCTCATGCTTTGGTGCCAATTATGTTTTGACCCCTGACGCGCGTTTCTTGGCAGTCTCCACGATTTTGGTATGCCGAGTGCTGTGAGATGGGCACTGCTATCTCAAGATCTCTCAAGAGCTGTCGTGGAGATTGACGGTTGGCAGGATGTGAGACCGCTTGCCGAAGTGGAGATCACGACACAGCTACGGAAGCATGTGGCTTCTACTTCACCGGCTCTTACACTGACGCCGCTGAACTTTGTTGAGAGCAACAGATTGGAGTTGCACGCGCTCACACATCCACAATTGGTGTGCCCGGTCCCAGGTCACTGTCTGCCGCCTCTACAGCTCTTGCGGCAGTCTGGTCCAGGAGGTGAACAGCCACGGCGAGCTGTTCGGTGTTGTCAAGAAGCGGGCGTGTCTTATTGCAGATCCTGAGTCGTACCTTGGCAAAATGGCGGCCCCGAACGTGCCGCATAGTCGGAGCAACGAACAAGTATGGCAGATGGTGTTTGGCACGAACTCCGGTAGATCCAACCTAGGGAGCTCTGAAAGTTTAGCGAAGTTCAGTGTAGCTAAGAATCTGGGTACACTTGCTTGCCAGCAACAAATAGGATAGGACGTGCTATCAGGTGCAAGCCCATCAAGCGCGAGAAGTGGCTTGCTGCCGGTCCAGACCTTTCTGGGCACTGCCTGTTTGAGGAGCGTTCCGCGAGGGTTGGTGGTTGTGGCATCATGGGGCATGACGTCCCTTGAGCTAGAGAGGAGGTTCTGCAGAACAATTTCCCGTATCTGCCGTCTTGAATCGCCCTAAATCCTAAAGCCCTGAAACCCTAAACCCTAAAACCCTGAAACCCTGAAACCCTAAAGCCCTAAAACCCTACAACCCGAAACGCTGAAGGACCTGATCTCCCACTGCGACGCAGCTTTGATCCACGGTGGGCACGGGGTCTCCGAGTGCGGCAAGTGTGAGTACATGCTTCCCTCGGAGCATGCCGTGTGGCCCTGCTTTGAATGTGCGTACGCGGTACGTAAATATGGGTAAATAAATATAAATATAAATATATAAATAGAAGTATAGGTATAGGTATAGATATAGATATAGACATTAATATATTTATATAATATAGATATAGATATAAATATAAATATATAAATATATAAATATATAAATATATAAATATGTAAATATATAAATATACAAATATATAAATATATAAATATATAAATATAAATATATATATATATATAAATATAAATATACAAATATATAAATATATCAAAATATTAATATATAAATCTAGAATATACATATACATATAGATATACATATAGATATTAACAGAAATATAAATACAAACATAAACATAAATATAAATATGACGCCTATCGTTTTTGTGTACTATAGATATACACACACACACACACACCTTTTTTTGTATTACCTGTTATTATATCATATTTACTCTAGTATGCACTGTGAAGCAAGATGCAAATCATGAGGGCGCCCCACCGGTTCCTGAGATAAGGCAGCTTTCGAGAATGAAGCGGCCGTTGCCATCACAGTTTGAATCTGGCTCGATGATCTCCGTAGGCACGGAGAGTTGTGCATCTTCCAGCGTCTCAGGGCTCAGAGACCCCCCCTGATGTCCAATACTGGGCCAGGTTGTGGCAATCGTTATGCCGGTGGCCTGGCAGTCATTGATGCTTGAATTCTGTTTTTTTTGTTCAGTTGGTGGAAGAGTGGAAGTGTGGAAGTGTCGCACGAGGTGCGTACGTTCTGTGCTCCGCGTAGCTATCAAGAGTTCACATTCCCGAAAAGCACGTAGCAGTCCCTCACTTCAAGCGTCTGTTAGCACGGGTGCTTCTCGCGCCTGTGTGCGCGAAAGCAAATGTTGTGTGGAGCCGGCTCTTCGAGAGCATCCAGTTGTCAGTCGGTCGCTTCAGATTCTGCTCCCTGACCGAGGCTTGAACCGATATGGAAATGACGACCCTGGGCAATAAAGATGTCACTGCTTTCCTTTGATTGCGGTCCTGAGCAGAGGGTATTCTTTGCCTGGCTTTTGCTTTGGTTCTACATTGGTTCCAGAAGACTATCTAGCATTCAACGAAAGCCCGACAAAGGCCACAAAAGCGTGCGAGTCATCTGCCCATGTCAAGGTCCTGCCATCCCAGAAAATCATCTGCCAGGACAGTGTTTGCACTGGAACAGGGTCGGCTAAGGCAGTGGATCTCAGCACTGCTTCTCACCTGCTTCTCACTCTGCCAGGACGGCGAGTGGGTTGATCCTGACGGCGGACCGGGCCTTTCCGCCCTGCAATGCGTGGCTTGTGTCTTGGCTTTTGATACGTTCCCGTGCGCGTCAGGTTGGGGTCCGTGGTCGTTTGTCTCCTTTGTCCTTCCATCAGCTTCGCCTTGCCTTACTGCCACGAATTAGGAATCATGTGCAAGCATCGGCAGGGAATGTCGCACATATATTATTGGCACCTACAGTCCGGTTTCCGGAGCCATTCGAAGTGAAGTGCCGTTGCACCCAAGTTGCGCTTCGTGGCAATGACTTCGGGCCTTCGGGTTCCAGCTGTTCCCAAAAATGGACTAGGTTTGGTAGAGCCCCGCCAGCGGAAGCGATTGCATGAGGTAAGTCAGGCAACGAGAGGCTTCCACAAATCACATGTGACGTGATTCGTGATTGCAGGTGTCCGGACCACTCCGGGAAGCACGTCCAACAGCCTCATGGACAGTCCTTGCCAGCTGTAGACAGCCCTGCGCCTCATGTCATTGGCATCGACACCACTTCCCCCGCAGTTTTCCTCTTTGGAAAGCCCGAGGACGTAGGCCTTTGCGAGCCA